CGCTAAAATTTCCGAAGAAATTGTTCGGATCGCACCACTATAGCATATAACTGCCATACAAACTGATCAATCAAACTCAAGTCCTTGTATGAAAACTTTTTTACTTGATAAGATATTCATACGAAATTTGGCACAGATTACTATCCAAGGGAGCGCTAAAATTTCCAAAGAAATTGTTCGGATCGCACCACTATAGTATATAACTGCCATACAAACTGATCAATCAAACTCAAGTCCTTGTATGGGAAATTTTTTTATTTGACAGGATATCCTCACGAAATTTCTAACAGATTATTATCCAACGCAGCGCTACAATCTTCGAACATATTGTTCAGATCGCACCAATGTAGCATAAAGCTGCCATATAAACTGATTGATTAAAAACATGTTAAAGATCTTCTCTACATTTTTATGCTTTAAGAAATGCAGATGTGAAGGGTATTATATTTAAATATTTCTTTTTCTTATTTTTTTACTCACAATCAACAACACCAACACTAGCAACACGTTAATGTTAATCCATTGCATTTTTATAGTGTTAAGTTCTCACGTGTTTCGTTGCTACCGCGTAATACCATATATTTTTAGACAAAATTTTTTTCTTTTGACACGTCACGCTTCTTTTATATAAAATAACATCAGTAACTATCTGCTTCACAGCGCAATTTCATAGTACTCACTGTTCGCTGCAGGCTTGCTGCCCAAAATAAACCGTTACCCACTGGGCTTGAACGTCGTTGCGCTACTACCGAGCACTCTATAATTATTGTAAAGTTATTTTGAAAAAACAATTTAGTTGTGTTCTTAAGATAAGCGGAAAAAATCATATTGCACAAACAAATACATTGGCAGCGTGGATAAGGAGGAAATACAACATCCTTTGTGACTTATCGCGCCTGCACGACTTCAATTCACGCTGTTTTCATTCAGTGCGCTCTTTAATAAGATTTTGTTGAACATATGCATGTATTTCATATATGTATGTATGTATGTATATAGTGATTTTGCTTCATATATGTATATATAGAAACTTATTTAAAAAAATTCCTATTTTGAATCTTTAAACCAATGCAATTTCACACGTACACACTAAATTACGATGTGCTTGATTCTGAAAAGGTTAGTTTGCTCCAAATTTAGGATAAAAATCCAAAAATTTGGTTTTTTGCAGTTTTCACATGAATTTTGAGGTTATGTGTAAAAGGTATTAGTGCTCAAGTTATAGCCTTTTATTACCTACAACTTTTTCTCTCAACTTTTTTCCATAAGATTCATAGTTTTGCCAGAAATTGAGTAAAAATTCAAAAATTTGTTTTGTTTTGCATTTTTCACATCAACTTTGAGGTTATGTGAAAAAGGTATTCATACTCAAGTTGTAGATATTTTTATTAATTACAACTTTTTCTCTTAACTTTTTTCTATAGGACTCATAGTTTTGCCGGAAATTGGGTTAAACCGTTTTATAATTTTTGTTGTTGTATCTCCCTTTTCAATGTGTTTTCATTTAATTTTTTTTATTCTATATGTGCTTCGGATTTATTTGTATATACTATGTACATACATATGATTTTTTTCATTTCATTTAATTTTTTTAATTACTTACAATTTTCCATTCATTAGTGTGAAAGTGCGAAAAAAAATTTTGTGCAAATTCATTTGTGTTGTGTGTTGGCTTATTTCCATCTCAGCATAAGCATGTATGTATGCAAGCGTGTTTTAAATGTGTCGCACATTATTGCAAATGTGCAGAAAAAAAAAAATAAAAACTGAGAAATAATTACAAAAACATATCTTTGTTATGTATGTGGCCTTTTTTAGATTTGCCCGCAAACGCCTTTTATTTTCTCGCTTATGAGTATATACAAGATAAGGCCAAAGAGCAGACTGGCAGCGAGAAGATTAGCATTACTTCGACGATTTTCGCCGGTGGTGCTGCTGGCATAGCATATTGGTTGGTCGGTATGCCCGCCGATGTGTTGAAGAGCAGATTGCAAACAGGTGTGTGCAATATTAATATTGATTTTAATAAAAAATAATATTTTGTTTTTGTTTTAATTATTTTTTAATTTTTTATAAAAGT